AAACAAAAACTGTCTGAAGAGACAAAGGGCACTATGTTATACTTAAAGGGTTAATCCATCTAGAAGATATAATGCTAAGAGTTCCTTCTCCAGGTCACTGGCCAGCAAGTGATGTTGAGGCCCCCTATCACAGATCCAGCCTTCCCAAGCCCAGGACCCAACACTATAGAAAGTAGATAAGTTTATTTATTTTATTATTTTTTGCTCTTCTTTCTTTTGTTAATTTTCTACTCCTCCTTGTCCCACAGACTGGTCTCCACTATGTAGCAGAGCTCCAGGTCCATCTCCAGGCTCTTGGCAAAATTGACTTTTTCTATATTCTCCTTCATACTCTTTTCTTCCCCCTTATATTGTCCTCTCTTCCTAATCCTCCACCCTGCCAAAGGGACTAGACAGGTCTAGAAAAACAGTCCTGAAGTTCCCTAGTATTGTAAGGTTCCCTGGGATCTTCCCTTTTACTGAATGACTTATGAAAAAGAAGATACTGCTCTTCAGACACCTGAATAGAATACAACTTTTGAGACCACATTGTTAAACAGAATAGAAGAGAGACTTTGGCACACATCAGTCCACAGCAAAAGGAAAACACACTTACTCCTAGTCGAAGAAATGTTTTCCTGAGAGGTATTCAAAAGTGAATACATATTCCCATGGCTAGAAGTAGAAGAGCCTCAGGTCTGAATAAACCAGGAAATATGTCTTTATAAAAGAACACAGTAACTTCACTCCATCTTTCAAAAAAACAGAGGAACTAACCAAAATGTCAGAGAATGAATTTAAAATATTCATGGTGACAAAATTATATGAGTTGGAATAGAAAAGAGACAACAAACTACAGGAGACTAAGAAGTACTTACACAATATGAAAGAAGAAATGGACACTCTGAGAAAGAATCAGATGGAACTATCAGAGATGGAGTCTGTAATACAGGAAATCAAAAACTCCCTTGAAAGTATTAAAATTTGATTACACCATGCTGAAGATTGAATCTCTGACATAGAAGATAAAACCTCTGACCTAGAAAAAAATGCCAGAAAGATAGAGAAAGTAACAACAACAAAAAAATAAGGATAATATATGACAAATACCAGATTCCATTAGATGCCAAAACATCCAAATAACTGGCATTCCAGAAGGTAAAGAAACTAATAAGAGCATGGAAAATCTTTTCCATGAAATCCTGGAAGAAAACTTCCCAAGTCTAGAGAGGCACTCAAACATAAAGACCCAAAAAATACAACGGACCCCAAATAAAATCAACCCAAGAAGATCTTTCCCAAGGCACGTCTAAGCCAGACTGACCAAAAGCACAGATAAAGACAAGACACTAAAACTGGCAAGAGAGAAATGAGAAGTGACTTAAAAAGGTCATCCCTTCAGGCTAACTCCAGACCTCTCAATGAAAACAATGCAAGCAAGGAAAGAATGGAAAGACGTATTGAAAGTGTTAAGAGAGAAACAATTTCAACCAAAATTATTATATCCACCAAGATTATCCTTCATATGGAAAAAATATTAAAATCTTGTCAGGCAAACAAATCCCAAAAGAATTTACCAACACCAGACCAGCTCTTCAAGAAACCCTGAAGAGAGTATTATTTCAGAAAAACTAAACAATGAACAGCTAGAAATAAAGGAATAAAAGGCAACCAACACAATGGTCAACTGAACATCAGGACATGTTGAGAAATATAAATAATAAATTGAATGTTAATGGATTGAATTCTCCAATCAAGAGACACAGAGGGAACCAGCAGTTAGCATAATGGCTATGTCGCTGGACTCCCACGTAGTCAACCGCGGTTCGTGTCCCGGACCCAGTGGCTTAAAACTCACGCTGAGCGCGTGTGCGTGTGTGCCCAAGATCCCGAGAGGAGAATGGAGGAGAAGGGATTGCGGCGTGACCATCCCCCCTGGGGGGTGACTTCTTGCTTTCTGTCTCTATGTCTTTCTCTGTCTGTCTGGTGAGCACACGCGCCCTACAGTGAAAATCTCTCCAAAAAAAAAAAAAAAAGAGACACAGACTGCCTGAATGAATTAAGAAACAGAAACCCTCTTTCTGTTGCCTACAGGAAACTCACCTCATGGAAAAAAGACATACATATACTAAAAGTGAAGTGTTGGGAAAAGCTTTTCCATGCAAATGGGAACCAAAAAAAGAGCTGGAGTCATGATACTAATTTCTGAGAAAACAGGCTTTTAAACAAATACTGTTCAAAGAGACACAGAAGGACACTATATTGTAGTAAAAGGGTCAATCAATCAAGAAGATGCAACACTTATAAATATCTTTGCATCTAACACAGAAGTATCAAAATATGTGAAGTAAAGACTATTAGTTCTCAAAGAAGAGATAGACTGTAGCACACTAATTGTTGAAGATGTCAACACCCCATTATCTCCTCTGGATAGATCATCTAGACAAAAAAATAAGTAAAGAGGTAAAGGATCTAAATGAATCCATAAATGAAATGGACTTAACAGATACCTTTAGAATTTTGCACCCAAAAACCATTAGATATACTTTTTTCTCACCCCTCCATGGAACATTTTCAAAGATTGACCACATGATAGGGCACAAGACAAGCCTCTACATATTCAAAGGCATAGAAACTATCCCCAACATCTTTTCCAATGAAAAACTCTCAAAAATACACAAATACATGGAAACTAAATAGCCTACTCCTGATTGACTTCTCAACTACTAAAAAAATAATTAAGACTGAAATAAAAAGATTCACAGAAGCCAATGACAATGAAGATATGAGTTTCCATAATTTTTGGTACACTGCAAACGCAGTCACAAGAAGGAAGTTCATAGCAATTAGTGCACATAAGAAGTAGACAGAAAGAAGCCAAATGGATCACCTAACATTGTTCCTTAGAGAACTGGAAAAGCAACAGCAAAAAAATCCAAAAAACTCTAGAAGAAAAGAAATAATAAAGATTCAAGTAGAATTAAATTAAATGGAAAATATATAAACTATACATAAAATAAATGAAAGTAAAAGCTGGTTCTAAGAAAAGATAAAATTGATACACTTCTAGTGAAACTTATTAAGAAGAGAGAAAGGAACCAGGTAAATCAAATTTGCAATCAAGCTGACAGTAAAACAACAGATATAATGGAAATACAAAACATCATTAGGGGATACTATGAACAAGGATATACTAAGAAACAAGAAAATCTGGATGAGATGGACAAATTCCTGGACACATATAATCTACCAAAATTGAACTAGAAGGATGTACAAAATCTGAATAGTCCCATAACAAGCCAGGAGATTCAATCAGTAATAAATAACCTCCCAACAAAGAAAAGCCCTGGTCCTGATGGCTTCATCTCTGAATTGTACAAAACTTTTAAAGAAGAGTTAACTCTTATTCTGCTCAAGTTATTTCTAAAAATCCAGAATGGCAAAACTCTACCTAATTAATTTTATGAAGCCTCCATCACCCTTATCTAAAAAACAGATAAGGAGAAGACAAAGAAGGAAAATAGACCTATAGACCTAAATCTCTGATTAATATAGATGCAAAAATTCACAACAAGATACTAGCAAGTTGTATCCAACAATATATGAAAAAGATTATACATCATGACTAAGTAGGTTTTATACTAGGATACAAGGCTGATTCAACATACATAAAACCATAAATGTAATACACCATATTAACAGAAAGAAAAGAAAAAACATATGATTAAATAAATTGATCCAGAAAAATAATTGGATAGTATATAACACACCTTTATTTTCAAGACTCAGCAATATCAGCATTAGTGTAATAAGAGAGTGGAATAGGGCAGAGGGCTAGACATGGGGTAAAAAACATATATATGAAAGTAGAAATGGAATATTATGGATGATAACATGCATTATTAAGCCACTATATAGTATATTCTAGATGGGAAACCACATTTAGAATGTTGTGATGATGCTCAGGGAATGAATGTACATTAAAAAAAATTTTCAGAAGAAAAAAAAAGGCATTAGAAATACCTATTTGATGACTGCAGTTAAGCTATATAGCCCTAGTTAGGTGCTACTTTACAGTATGTTCATTCTATTCACTGAGGTTTATGCCTAAAGTCAGTCTTGTGTTCATGGATATGTACATATCAGCTGTGCTTGCTATTGAAAATATTTAGATTTATTAAGATATTTAGTGAAACAATAAAATGGGGGAGGCATAGAAAGCAACAATAGATACCAGACACAGTGTGGGAGGAGGGTGGGAGATGGCAGAGGGTGAGATAGGGAATCAAGGATGGGAAAAAAGGCAAAATATACAGAAAACAAGAAATGGAAAATGATTTGTTGACAATAACACATATGTTGATGTGCTTGATTGAGCCAATATACAGTGTATTCTAAATGGAAAAATCTCATTTTGTATGCTATAATGATGTACAGTGAATGAATGTAAAAAAAGAAAAAAATGTATAAAAAAATATATATATATAAAAAAAATCAAATCAAATCAGCCTCAGAAAGAAGAAATATCAATCAATCCTTGACAAGAACAGCACCAGTCATTTTCTTCAAGCCACAGTATACTTTTTGTATCTTTGTCTATCTATAATATGCCTTCCATATCAAATCAGGTATTGTATAAATGTTTATGAACAGAAAGGACTTACAAGACTAATAATGATAGTAGTCACAAATGCATACTTGTCATTTAACTGAAATTTTAGGTATACACTTACAATATAAAGTGTGGAATCTCATAGAAATGTGATTTACTACTGTGTGCTATAGTTCACAGAAAAAGATAAAAATAGACAAAGGTAACAAAGGAATATCCCAAAATTCTAAATAAATTTCTATTTTTCTTTTCTCTGTCTCCCTGGTGAAAGCACACACCCTATAGCAAAAACCACTCTTAAAAAAAAAAAAAAAAAAAAGGCTTTAATTAATTTCTCAGGTCCATTCTAAAATGTTGGTGTACCTTTTTGCTTTCTTTCTCTCTTCCTTTCTTTCTCTTTCTTTCTTTCTTTCTTTCTTTCTTTCTTTCTTTCTTTCTTTTTCTTTTTCTTTCTCCCATACGGCACATGTGGTAACTGAAAAGACAGACAAAGGGGAAATGAGTAATCACTCCTAGGGGATGGCCATGCCACAATCCCTTCTTCATTCTTTTCTAAGAATTTTGGGCACACATGCACATGTGCTGTTTAATTTTTAAGCCATTGTATCTAGTATGAAAATCACATAGTTGGCCATGTGGGATCCAGCCCCTTTACCTCCACACCACCCACTGATCCTGCATAGTTTTTAAAATTGTCAAAATAAAATAACATGAAGCTTTTGCCACTGACTCAAGGTGCAACAGATATCTGATGCTTTCTTCTGGCCACACTCTTCACTGGAGAGTAACTAAGAACTGGGAGCAGTAACCCAGAGATAGAAGAAGAAACAGGGAAGCAAAGGTTGCCCAGCCTTAGCTCATCAGCATAGTCCCCTGCCCAGTCTGTAGTTGGGAAGAAGGATTGCTCCAGCTTTCAAGGACCATCACCTGGTTCCTGCAGTCCCAGTGATAGAAAGTAGAGGCTTCTGCTGATGCTGACTTTTGCTGATGCTACTCTGTCTCTCACCAATCCAGAAGCAACAGGGAAGCAAAGGATTCCTGGACTTAACTCATGAGCAAGGACCCTTGGGCAGTCTGCAGCTGGGGATGAATTAGACTATCATCTTATATCCTACTTTTCCAGCTGGACCTCCAGCCACACTGGGAACAAATAGGTTTGGGTATACAGTAAACAAATACCTGAGGACAGTAAGGATTTAGAAGAATTATATCTCCCCAAACTCCTTAACAGCAAAAGGAGAAAATCTCCCTTCTGGAAACCTAAACTCAAAACTTCCACTGTAAATTTCTCTTGCCTAACCAGAGTGGAGGAGAGAAACTGGCATGCAGTTAACTCACAAGAGAGGGAAGTGCACAAGCACACAGCCACAGAATATACTCAAAAGAAGTAGGAAGAAGTGAGTATATCACCAGATGACTAAAAATCAAAGCAGAGACCCAAGAAATAGGAGAAAGTCAGGAAATAGTTCTCTCACAAAGGAACATAATAACTCTTCATCAACAATGGGTAAAATATAAGAGATCATAGAAATGTCAGAGAAAAAAAAATCACAAGACTCATTGTAATGAAACTCAATGAAATGCAAGAGATTAGAAAATCCTTTCACAGGGGACCAGTAGTTGGCATAATGGCTATGTCACTGGACTCCCATGTAGTTGACCGTAGTTTGAGACTGGACCAGATGGCTTAAAATCACGCTGGGTGTTTGTGGGTGTGCGCCCAAGATCCCGAGAGGAGAATGGAGGAGAAGGGATTGTGGTGTGGCCATCCCCCCTGGGGGAGTGATTTCTCACTTTCTGTCTCTGTCTTTCTGGTGAGTGCATGTGCCCTATACCAAAAACTTCTACAAAAAAATAAATAAATAAATAAAGGAAAATCCTTTCATGACTTGAAGGATGAACTCCATAAAACGACTGACACACTGAAAAAGAATAAGAGAGAATTTCTTTTTTTTCTTTCTTTCTTTCTTTCTTTCTTTCTTTCTTTCTTTCTTTTTATTTTATTTTTTTTTTTTGGAGAGGATTTTGCTATAGAGCATGTGCACTTGCCAAAAAGACAGAGAGAGACAGAGAGACAGATTGCTAAGACATGGAACCAACCCAAATGGCCCCATACAAATGAATGAATTGAAAAACTGTGGCACATATACTCTATGGAATACTATTCATCCATAAAAACCAACAAAACCCTGCCTTTTGAAAGAAAGTGGAAGAATATGGAAGATTTACTATTGAGTGAAACAAGCCAGACTATGAAGGAGAGACATTGCATGTCCCCACTTAATATATACTGAGTGTCTGCACCCTATGACTGAAACTGACTGACTAAAAGATATACAAACACAAGAAATGGGTGTGAATGCCAGATGTGGTGTGTGTGGAGGAGTGGGGCATAGGGAAGAACATTTGGAGGAGAGATAGAGGCAGAGCATTGATGGGATGGGGAGGTGTGGTGTTAACCTGTTGAAGATATTTTGATCAACTGGACTGGGGAGAAATGTTCACATATTAAAATGCTCACATTGTAAGCTAAACAATGTGGCTGAATGTATATAAACAAATTAACTAATTAATTAAAAAAAAGAAATACTACACCAGGAAAACTAAAGGGAGATAAATAGAAGTAAGAGAGTACAAAAGAATTAGAGAGAAAAAGAATAGTGAAAGGACAGGGATAAATCCTCACATATTAAAAATAACAATGAGTGTCAGGATTAATTTCCCAACTAAAAGGCAAAAAATTCAGATTCAACTATTTTACACACAAGCGGGTTTAGTACAAATTCACCAATTATTCGATAAATAGTCGTCTCCACAGATTTCATATTTCATTTACATATGTAGAGAAAAAGTCCAAAATGTTAAAAGAAGCTGAGTCTTCCACAAAACAAATAATGATAAGTGTTGGAGAGGATGTGGTGAAAGAGAGACACTCCTACATTGTTGGTGGGAGTTTAAATAGGTTCAGCCACTGTGGAGAATGATATGGAGATTCATCAAAGACCTTCAAATAGAACTACCATATGACCCAGCAATTCCACTCCTGTTTCGAGTCCTGGACCCGGTGGCTTAAACTCACACTGGGCGCGTGTGCGTTCGTGCCCAAGATCCCAAGAGGAGAATGGAGGAGAAGGGATTGCGGCATGGCCATCCCCTCTGGGGGGTGATTTCTCGCTTTCTAGCTCTCTGTCTCTCTCTGTCTGTCTGGCGAGTGCACGCGCCCTATAGCAAAAACCTCTCAAAAAAAAAAAAAAAAAAAGAAACATATACCGACTGCCCACACTCTATGGGAGAAATTGAAAGACTGGGGAACATAAAAGTATTAAAAATTATAATGGATACTAGAGACAAAGTGGAAGAGAATGTGGGGAGAGAAGAGCATAGAAAAGGAAATTTGAGGGGGAAATGGAGAGGTAAGACACTTGTGGGACACAAGACTTATCTGTTGACGAGGATGTGTATGGTCATCTCAACTGGACTGGACTGAGGTGAAAATCATACTAGGTAAAGTCTCTTCACAGTCTAAATGATGTATAGTGATTTAATGGATGAATAATAATAAAAAATAAATTTAAAAAAGAAAATTAAAATATCTCCTTTTGTTGTCGATGTTATGATTATCTCTCTCTTAAAAAAAATCCTCACTAATTTATGAGACTTCTCTGATTTTTTAATCACTTTGTTTTTCTTTAGAACTGTATTTCATAGTAAAGAACATCATATATATCCAATATATATTTCCAAAATGATCAATTGCAAATTTCAAATGTTAATGACACAATGTAATGTTAAGTGTTGAAGGTGGTGAATATGTTCATATTCTCAATTTATTTATTCCACACCATATACATACTTGAAAAAAAATACTGTCCCTTATAGAGATGTATAATGATTTTATATAATCATAAATTACAATAAATATTAAAAAATAACTTAATAAATAGAAGAATGTGGGAGTGATGGTGTCCAGTCAGTGGCTGAACAAAATTCACAAGGAATCAGCACAAAGAACCATCTGACTGAGGTCAATAGTATTACAATCATTCCAGGAACAAAATACAGAATGTGTATATTTTGCAGCAAAATCTGAGTTGCCGTCTTCTTAGTGTACTCCCACCTCTCTGTGGAAAAATGACCATGCTAGTTCCCCCCTGTGCTAGGTTCTACAGTCCATGTTCCCCTGGCATCCCAATATTACATTATTGACAAGCTTGCTGATAAAGAACTAAAATCGCATGAACAGAATGAAAGAAAAGGGATTTCATCATGGTCATTCCCACAAGGGGTGATTTCTCACATTCCTCTCTCTATTTTTGTCTCTCTCTGGTACTTGCATGTCCCTATAGCAAAAACTTTTTAAAAATAAAGGAAAACAAAGAATTATAATGTCAAGTTCTTAACTAGTCCTCAGTAGCTATGTCTTAAATCATCAAGAACACCATTAAAATTATCTATCACAGGCCACCTACAGAGGAACAGCAGCAACCCAATTCTTTACGATGGTAAAGTCATATGGCAAGGTCCCAAGTTCACACCCCAAGATCTCCCTATACATACCAGAGACACATATGCCCATGTCCTGTCTGATTTAAACTGAGGGTAGGTAGTTGCAAAACCATGTTAGGGAGTGTATCTCTTTATTCTCTGTTTCTCTCTCTCTCTGAAGAAATAAAAACAAACTTAAAAATAAATATCCCAGTTTCATAACTCTCTTTCAGTTAGATGGCCTCCCTGGAGTTCTTCATCATTACCTGCTCCAAAACATGAATCTTGAGTTGGAAAAGAGAAACATGTTTGTGTGGAGTTAGGGTCAACTGGGCACAAAAGAAAGAAAAGCCTTCTGAAAACAAAACAAAACAAAATAACACAAAACAAAAAACATCAAACAAAATATGTTTAGAATTTCTTTTTTTAAAAGAATTATTTTATTTAAATTTAATTATTTATTTATTTTAATTTGACCAGAGGGAGACAGTGAGAGGAAGAAACAGAGAGAGAGTAAGAAACCAAGCTGCCAGGTCTGGGACTCAAACCACAGTGGGCCACGTGGGATCCCAATACCCTTAATCACCACGCTGCTTGCTGGAACCAATATGTTTAGAACTGCTGGACCCAATATGTTTAGAACTTCTAAGGGCCATTATCCTCTTTTTTTCTTTTCTTTTTTTTTTTTTTGAGAGGTTTTTGCTATAGGGCGTGTGCGTTTGCCAGACAGACAGAGAGAGACAGAAAGAGAGAAATCACCCCCCTAGAGGGAATGGCCACACAACAATCCCTTCTCCTCTCAGGATCTTAGACATGCACACGCACACGCACCCAGCATGAGTTTTAAGCCACTGGGTCCAGGATGCGAACCGTGGTCGACTACATGGGAGTCCAGTGACATAGCCATTATGCTAACTGCTGGTCCCTTGGCCATTATCCTCATCTCTGTGATGGAATCGAGGATTTGGCAACTGTTGAGCAGAACATAGGTTACCTGGTTTAGAAAGGTGGTCTCTTTTCTCTGCTCCTCTTCTTCAATTTCTCCAACTCTTTTCCTGTGATTTAGAATTACTTTCATCAAACATAGTACAACATTGAATATCATTTTCAATAATGCTCTATGTTCCTGTAATCCTCACAACTGTATCCTTACACATTTTATCTACACACTGAAAGCATAATTTCCATGAATAAGAGTACAATAGAACCCAACCTAAAAACAGTTTCCTTATCCATTATAGAATCCTGCAGAGTTCTCAGCTGATAAAATTTCCTTACTAATCTCAATTTATCTCTAGTTTTTCCTCTGTCGGGTATCTTTGATTATAAACACCATACTCCTTGTACTTAAGTTTTTACCATATGCCACAAGGCAATGTCAATTGTTCTTATAAAGTGACAAAATGACAAAATCATTTTTGAGAATGTGGATTAGCCGACATCAAATTGCATAGGCCTTGATTCAAATGTTCCCTCCCACCCTCCCCTGTACATGCACAGAATGACAAACACAGCGGGAGGGAAGAATCAAAGGCACCCAGGAGAGATGAATAATAAGCTCAAAAAAAATTAATTGACTAAAAAATGAAAAACAATTAGTTGATGACAATGTATATAGTAAGGTCTTTGTCTTGACTGATATGCATAATATTTGTGCTGGAAAAACAATATTCTACACTGTAAAGATATATGTAATTAAATGTAAATTTAAAATTTTTTAAAAAATAAAAAATCATACTCTGGCTTACAAGTAAGACACTGGCACTTCCAAGTTTCTTTGTGCTCTTCTCATTACTATAAAAGTCAGATAAGATAAAAGCATCTATGAGAGGTGTTAGGTGTCTTTCTTGGTCCGTATTTTGGTTGAGAGAGTAAAAGTTCATTTTAGCTCAATGTGGGAAAGCAGGCCATCCAGCTCCTCACAAATACCCAACAGGGTGGGGCAGGGGATGAGGAAGCAGTATGCCTCCTGCTGTGGGGAGAGCTGCCCTCAGAAAAGGCTGGTGCCTCACAGAGAGCCAGCATTACAAAGGTCATGGTAAGACATGGTGTCATTTAATAACCCCATACTTAAACCTCTAACAGTTCTACATTTCAGGACAAAATTCCTGCCACCTCCTTGAAAGATCCTGGTTGAGGGAAGAGGTGAATCTCAGTGTTGGCAACTATACAGACATGAAAAGTGATCCAAGCTGTTCCACAAAATGAATTTAGACCCTGAAGTAGATTTCAGCTGGAAAACCGTAAGCTCAGTGTGGATTTATGTTAACAAGATTGACTTCATTGATAATGAATGCAATCAATGACTATGGCCTGGAAAGTTATATTTGCTATTATTAGCATATATTTTTTATTTTTTCTTTTCTTTTTTTTTCTTTTTTTTTTTTTTTTGGAGAGGTCTTGCTATAGGGCATGTGCGCTCGCCAGACAGACAGAGAGAGACAGAGAGACAGAAAGCGAGAAATCACCCTCCAAGGGGGACGGCCATGCCACAATCCCTTCTCCTCCATTCTCCTCTCAGGATCTTGGTCACTTACGCACAAATGCCCAGCATAAGTTTAAGTCATTGGGTTCCAGGACTTGAACCGCGGTCAACTTCGTGGGAGTCCAATGACATAGCCATTACGCTAACTGCTGGTCCCTGTATATGGTTTTGATTAAAAGACTCTCCACTTTTCTATAGATCACATGTCAAACTCAAAGATCTCTAGAAAGCAAGGACAAAAATACTCTAGAGGGGTATCTGTACATTTCTTTCTGGCAATCCAAGCAATCCTCTAGGCAAAGTTTTTTGCAATGACTCTTGGGCATTGGGTGTGTAGTGAGGTGCTGAGGATACAGAGGAGTGCAGGTACTATTTCCATCCTAAAAGAGCTATTGTTCAATGCACATCCAAAGCCAGTGAGGACATAGCAAACCCAGGCTTGGGCTCAGGCCGAAATAATGTAAACCTGTTCTTTGAGGTACAATATAGAAGAATTTTACTTTTGAACAGTGATGAGTAGATCTGAAGTCCCAGATCTCCCCTGAAAACAATAATAAATAGTGGACAGTGGATGGAACCCATAATCAAAAACATGAATTGCTATGAAGCCAGTGAAAAAACATGGGACTGTAAGAAGGAAACCCAGGATTTAGGCTAGCCTGGCATTTGGGCTGATTTTCCCTTGTTCATCAATGAATTCTGGATGAACACTCTGGAGTTACAAAGAGGCTGACCATTTTTTCACACATGCACACAAGTGTCAACGAGAAAGAAAACAAGTGGAGTTCAAGATCTGCCCATCAAGGTGAACCCTAGTAAAACCCATAGGCCTTGGTTGGGGACCAGTAAAGTTCCACCCTAGCAATAAGATTGACAAGAAACACTGCCCTACATAGAGACTGAACTGGAATGAATCTCAATTGGTGACTGGGTTAAGGGGATCTAGTACTGCCAGGACTCTGACCACCAGTCGACTATAAAGTCCCACCTTTTCAACAAGACTCCACTTTTTTCTAAACAGTGTCCATTCAAAGTAAGCTAAATAACGTGATTGAATTTGTAAAAGAAAATTAAATTTAAAAAAAAATTTTAAAAACCCACAAAGTATAGACTTGAATAGATGACTTTATACATGGCAAGGACAGTACAATGGAATACAAGCAAAATCTAAATGAGAATATGACTGGAAACAGGGGATCCACATATAGAGGTCAGCAATATTGGTATCAATGTCTCCTCTGCTCTTGAATAAATTACAAATAAGAGTCTGAATCCACTCTGTGGTTTCCCTCTCCCTCTCTGTCTCTCTCTGTATGTCTCTCTCTATCATGTATGCATATGTTCCATTATGAACTAAAAGAAAAAGTGGAACATAGACAGTGAGAAAGTAAAAAATATGCAGATTAAAGAAATCAATGTGAAAATGAGTATAACACTGTACTAAATGAATTTGCCACAGATATGTCCAAAATTCTTTTTTTCAAGAGAGATTTTTGTTTTGGGACATATGTGCTCAACAGAAAGACAGACAGAAACAGAGAGACATATAGCGAGAAATCACCCTCCAGGGAGGATAGCCACGTAGCAATCCCTTTACCTCCATTCTCTTCTTGGGACTTTGGACATGCATGCACACATGCCCAGTGTGAGTTTTAAGCCACTGTGTCCAGGACTCAAACCATGGTTGATTAAATAGTAGTCCAGTGACATAATCATTGCACCATTTCCTGGTCCCATATCCAGAAGTATTTTTTAAAAAGTTACAGTAGTCTACATTACTAAATACATGTATTCATACAGCAATATTTGTAATCAATATTCACAAGAACATCTTATTCCTTTGTGGCCTACCTAATTAGTTCACAGATTACATAAAGATCATTATGTCAATTTTAGAGTTTTTAATTTGACATCCTTGGCTGCTTTCAGACATAAGTGAAGACCAGGGGTCTTCCATGGCCTTCCTCCATTTTGTAAAGGATGAAGCAATTTTCATGTGGGTGCACATGGACCCAAGGTCTGGATGGGATGAAGTGAAGAAGGTGAGAATCCTGACAGCAGGAAGCCACTCTTCAGCTTCCCAGAAAAAAAGCTCACTTCCAAGTGTGGGATTTCTACACAACAAACAAACTACCTTCTAGGTTACACATCACAGCTTTAGGCCTTGAGTCCTCAAGTCAGTCATTTTAGTCTCCTGACTGTAAGACAGATTTGACAAAAGACATTTAAGGAGAAATGTTTGTACAACAAGGTGAATTCACTGAACATTACTGAAAAATCACTGAGGAGTTACTTCTGTATTACCACAGAAGTTATAGTTAATATTTTTGTAGCATAATTAAAAGTATAGAAGCATGTAAAAATCTATTTTAAAGTACATGGATCCTTATACACATAAAGCAATGCATTAGATAGGTGATGCTTGCTATGAAAGTGTACAGTTTATCAAACATAAGAAAAGGACACCAGGAAAATGAAGAGATTAAAAAATCACTGAACTGCACAAAGCAAAAGGAACTGATAGTGAAAATATTACAAAAGGACAAGCCAAAGGAAAATTTTTTCCAAGCAGATTTTTTTCATAAAGTTCTGTTTCCCTTCTTGAAATTATCAGTCTTTTCAGATATTTGTCACAAATTAACTAAAAGAAAAGGTAAAACCTCTAAGAGTAATAGGAAAACAGAATAATAAATAATTGACATAAGCAATTTGCAACAATCATACATTATCTATCATCATGAACACTATGTACTTCTTTTTACCATCCTGAAAGACAACAAACTTTAGTTAGTGCCATTTTAAATCTAAAAAGCACAAAAATATTAAACCTACTTCAATCATTATCATTATTATTGATCTGTTCTTGTGCCTAATTTACAAATTAAACTTGGTCATTGATAGGTATGTCTATATAGTCCCCAACTTAGAATGATTCTACTTACTACATTTTTTACTTTATAATAGTGCAAAAGCAATATGCTCTCAAAAAACCCAGTATTTCTAGAATTTCATTTCTCCCATTTAGTACAGTATTCAATAAAATATATGAGATAGTCTACACTTAATTATGAAATACATTTTGTGTTGAATGGTTTTCCACAACTATACGCTAAAGTAAGTATTTCAAGCATATTTTCCATAGGTTAGGTTATGATGTTTGGTAGGTTAAGTATATTAAATTATTTCCAATTATGTTATTTTCAATATGGTGGGTCTTAGGGGACATAAGCCCATCACAAGTCCCATCACAAGTTGGGGAACACATCTATACAAGAAGATTTAGCATGTACAGAATTGGGTGCTATCCCCAGTTTTCCCTGGAAGTTCTTAAAAAGGTTACTCTGCAGATAATGGGGAAACTATTGTATTTAGTTTTTTTCTTTTTGACAGAAAATATTTGTAAACTGTAGTATTCTATTGAGACTATGTTGTCTTCTTCACTGAATTCTTTATTAAGAATGTCCTCTTGAAATGGCAACTGTGGTTAGAATCTCGGTTTGGTCAGTCTGGAACACACAGGCCACTTGCATGTGCTGGAGAAGAGCTCAAGTGTCAGAGATGCCAAGAGCTGCAGGACTAGAGGAAGTGTATCTGAGTGTGAGCAGATCCGTGCACATGCATGTGTTCCACAGTGATTAAAGAAATGATTAGAAAAATGAATATGTACATTGAAATATGTTGAATGAGGGTGGGAATACAGCACTGTTCATGCAACTATCTTCAAAGTGATGGGTGGGTGAACTTTTGTACCGTTCTTGCAAATTTCAAGATTATTTCAAAATAAAATGATGAGACTGCTGACTTCCTTGCACATCTTAGGTTAGCCTTTAAAATATTTTTCCCAATCTAATGGGAAAAAGAATGAGTCTTATTTTACCAATTGTCATAGCACTAACCACCTTCTAGCATACCATGCACCTTATTTACCATACCTACTGTATATCTTCTATCTCTGTTTATTCAATGATTCTTAATCCTTACCACCCCAAGGAACATCTGACTTACAGCAAGAGACAAATGCCAAAAATCTGAAGAATGGCTGAAGGGATGACATCTACTGAGCCCTCAATGAATGACAGGGATGACCAGCCTCACTGCCCCCCTACTGGAACGTAGGGGCACGGGGGGCAGAGAACTGAGCTCTTTGCACTGGGACATCTCAGAACCTGGGACAGTTCCCGGCAGGCACACAGCCTCCCTGAGGTGGTGTGCAGACACTAGCCCGGCTCTGAAGGGCCACAGTGGCTCCGGGTCGGTGGTGTTCCATCCTCATGGCCACCTTACAGTCACTAGAGCAGGTTCCAGAGCTAGTCAGATGGGCAGCCCAACCCAGGAGGCTGGGGCGAAGGCCTGGGGCCCCGGGGCCGCTGATCAGGCTCCCAGTGGCTCACCCTGTCCTGGGGCTGCCTCTCCCTGAGATCTCTATGGATTTTCACCTCCCCGCATGCCCGGACCAGCTAGTTCGGGGTTCACCTCTCCTCCTGCCCTTTTAAGGGCGCCTCCCAGTGCTCTCCCTGCGAGACTCGGCCAGGCTGTAGACCAAGGTCCGCTGGGGCAGAGGAAGCTCCAAGGCAAGACTCCTGGAGGGCGTTGTCCTGGGGAGGAGTGGCGAGCTTGGCAGCCTGCACCATTCCTGGGTCCGCCCTGGGACCCGGTCACACCCGGATTGTGACGTCAGCGACCGCCCAACGACGCGGAGGGAAGGGAGTACCAGCGGCGTCTCTGCCTTGGCCTCCACTGGCGGATCCAATTGTTCTGGAGGGGAGCGAGTCAGAGCCAGATGCCGCGC